ACTTTCACCCTGACTCCGCCCCCTGCAGGTGGGACTCAGCCACGACTCCTCCTCCAAAGCCCTCCACCAATCACGGGCAAAGGCCTGCATACTTTCATACTGACTCTGCCCCCTGCAGGTGGGACTCAGCCACGACTCCTCCTCCAAAGCCCTCCACCAATCACGGGCAAAGGCCTGCATACTTTCATACTGACTCCGCCCCCTGCTAGCTCCTCTGCCCAATCGGAGGAAAGCAATCTGAGATCCTTGGACCATGCTGCTGAGATTCGAGGGCAGAAGGCTCTGCCCGGGAAGATCACCAGCGCCAGCGCCAGGCAGTGCCTGAAATTTCACCACTGCTGTCACTCAGGCATTTCTCTGCAGATGCAGCTCTCTGCCCTGTTGCCTCACGCTTAGCTACCAGCTCCTCAAGGCGCGTTATTCTGGAGTTTTCGGGAAGCACAGCTGTCTTAGTGGTCGCCACCGAAGTGGAGTGGCCCGGGGTCAGTCTGGTGGGGGAACGATGCCACCCAAGGCCGAGGGACTCTGAAGCCTCTGGGAAGGGAGGAGGCAGCCACCGGTGAACGCCAGATCTCAGGCAGCCTACCTGCTCTCCAGTCCGAGCGGGATCTTCGCACCAGCCTTACCTATCCCTCTGCGCTGTGGAAGCAACAGAAATCAAGAGCTGCCCTCCTTGGCCGCCCACCTATGTGCCAGTTGTTGTAACCAGGCTCGGAGATGTGTGCCCGTGGGCTCTGACAGCAGTTGCCTCCCCCTGCCACACACGCAGGATTTGAACTCAGACCTGGCTGACAGGAAACTGAAAGCACACTCACTAACTTTTGTATTTTGGAACCAGCGGATCCTCTCGGTTATGTGTTCACCGCCGTTATCCCTGAATCCCCCTTCCTGCCCCACCCCCACCCTCCCTGCAGTGTGGCCGAGGAGGCCTCCAGCCCATGTATCATCTGGACAGGAGCCTGCTGGCCACGGCCTCCTCTGCCTGCCCTTCACCCAGTGGCCACTCAACTTCCTACCCACACCTCCACCAGAGGATCCCTCAGGGCTGCAACAGGCTGTGCAGCAATAAATGTTGGCTTGGATTGGCTTGGTTCACCTGGTGGTTGATGTTCTCATGTGGCCTAAAATGGGACCAGCTTCCGCTCAAAGGATGGGTGGTCTTAAACAGTGCGGAGGCCGGATGCCACCACTTTTTTGGCTTTTGACAGAAGTCCATATTTTCATATGAGATGTTCACAGTTCTGATGCCTTCAACTCCCGTCTTTCTGAATGGCACCCTTTCCTCTGAGTGACAGAGTCAGACCAGGTGCCCTCTCCCCACTCCTTAAATGCAGCCAAGAAAAGGCCACCCTGATCTTGGATTGACACCAAACAGCTGGCAGAGCCGCCAGGGTCTCAGGGATGGCTGAGTGTGAGTGCTTCACAGGCCGCAGTCACTCCTGCAGACAAGGTTCTGCAGATGCCCTGGGCTCAGCCAGAGGAGGCAGGTAGTGGACAAAACAGATGTCACCAACACAAGCTGAGCGAGCAGAGACAGTGCGCCACTCATGAGAAGGTTTAAACACAGGCAGTACGGCAAATAACATCGGTCAGCACGAGATGTCTCCAAAGCCGATGCCCATCCTGACCTTCTTGGGTCCCACCTCCTGCGAACTTGCTAGAGGAGCAGAGAGGGATGCCAGGCTGGTGACGATGTAGTCAGCATGGGCTGGCGAAGGCTCAGATCTGTCTGCAAGGCTTCTTCAAAGCCTTGTCTGACCCAGTACATCCCAGGACCCATCATCAATGACAGTTCCAACCCAGCATCCTCAGAGGCCAGAGTCAGGGGTGTTCAGGCCAGGATAGAAGTGACTGTGAGGCACCCCCAGGGAAATGAATGCCCTTTGCTCAGTGGAGTGGCACGTTTTCCCCGTCTGGAGTCACACTGCACACCCTGATCTGTGCATGGTCAGCCATAGGACCGAGAAGGAGGCATTGTCCCTAACCTTGACCTCAGGTACCCCCAGGCCTGCTGGAGAGATCATTCTCAGTAGCACCCCCCTCCCCCCACCCAGACCATCAGTGGTGACCACCAATGAGGTTACTGAGCATCTTTTTGTTTTGTTTTGTTTTTTGAGATGCAGTCTGGCTCTGTCCCCAAGGCTGGTGTGCAGTGGTGTGACCTCAGCTCACTACAACCTCCACTTCTCAGGTTCAAGCGATTCTCCTGCCTCAGCCTCCTGAGTAGCTGGTACTACAGGCATGGGCCACCACACCTGCCTCAGTGGTTTCACCGTGTTGGCCAGGGTGGTCTTGAACTCCTGACCTTAGGTGATACACCTGCCTCAGCCTCCCAATGTGCTGTGATTAGAGGTGTGAGCCACTGCACCCAGCCTACTAACCCTGAGCATCTTGCATGTCCAAGGCATAGGAGCTGAGAGAGGGGACAGTCTCTCCATGCTCCCCTCACCGAGCTGGGGCATGTCTCGCTCTCGCTGGCGCTCTCTCTCTCTCTCTCTCTTTCTTTCTCCCTCTCTCTCCCTCTCTCTCTGGTTTCCCTCCTCCCACTCCCTACTCGGTGCCTCTCTGAACGGCTTCCAGAGACCTTGTCCACCTCATGCTTCTCAGTAAGGTCCAGAATACCCAGCCCTTGTCAACTAATCCCAATTCTGCTTCAGACTTTCTCAGGATCATGGCAGGTCCCTCCTTACTGAGTGTGAATCTCTCCATCCGCCTGCACAATAGGGAGGGCTCTAGATGACTCTGCTTAGCCCCTGGCTAAGGCCCAGGTGACTAATGAGGAGGGGCTGCCCAGAGCCTTCTGCCACCCACCCTGCCCCCTGAGCTCAAGGGGAGGACCGCAGATGGTGCGGGGAGCCCCAAGCAGTCGGGCGCTGAGGCGTACACAGAGGATGGAGGCTGTGCCGAGAACAAGGTCTGAGACCTGGCAGGACTCCTTGAGAGATGAGCGCAGGCCAGTAGAAGAGAGGAGGAGGGAGCGGGGCACAGAAATGCAGAGGAAAGGACCGCACTGGCCTTCCAGGTTAGCGCCCTGCAGGCTGCTGGGCTGTGTGAAGGCCGGGAGGGGCCCCCATCACACTGCACCCACCCCACACACCACAGTGCCTCATAGCCCCTCATCTGTGTGTCATGGCTTCAGAGTTAGGCAGGCAGCCTGGGGAGGGGACCCATCATCAGCCAAGAGTGTGGAGAGTGGATGAAGCGGAGAGCCGAGATGTGGGCAACGAAAGGGAGGACAGAGGTGGGCCCTGCTCAGAAAGGTGCCCAGGAAGGGCCAAGCTTAGTGATGGGCACGTGAGGATGGCGAGAAGCCGAAACTGTCTCCCGGGCTGGGGCAGCCGTGGAATGGGGTTGGTCACAAGCAGAACTGCTCCTGGCCCCGCCTCCTCCCCCAGTCCCAGGTCCCTGGCCAGGCACCTGTCGGGCCAGCTCGTCTCTATCGCCCCCTGGTGGATGTTTCAAGGACTTCCCTAAGGTTGGCCTTGGGCCCAAACACCTGGGTGGAGAGCCACCATCCCTCCACACAGAGGCCACCATGTGGGCGATTCCTGCCACTCCAGGGCACAGGCCGCCCAGGGAGGGTGGCCAGTTTGCCAGCAGAATGGATAGGGGACAGTCTCGGGGAAGCAACATTGAGGTGATCTCTGAGGGCTAGGTAGGGGTCTCTGGGTCCCAAGGGAACATGATGGGTGCCAGGGATACCTGAATCCAAGTGGGCAGTGCCAGGGATACCTGAATCCAAGTGGGCAGGCATCAGAGGTCCCTTCCCACAGAAGCACAGTGCAGGCTTCCTAAGTGAGGCCGAGGGGTGAGGGTGGGTTTGGGGCAGTCCACTCTGGCTACTAGAAGCGCCCAACGGGCAGTCCGGGGGAAGCTGCCAGTGCCCCTCCAGGTGGGGAGGAGGAGGGCTGGGGGGATGATGGCCTGGTGTGGGACATGCTGAATGTCACTCTGTGAGACTCTGGGGAGAATCTCCAGGGCTACCGGAATCAGGACCTAAAGTGACAGGGCTCAGGCAGGTGGGGACACCAGGGCAGCCCCCGTGGGGAGGGTGAGTGGAAACTGTATATCCCCAGGCACTCCCATCTGCTGTGCTGGCAGGGTGGGGGGAAGAGTCAGAGTCAGCCCATTCCCAGCACTCACCCGGGGCCTGTTTTAATGAACCCACCCTCCCACAATGTGGGAACAGGAACTGTTCTTATCTCTCCAGGGGGAGGGGGCCGGATCCACAGCTGGCAGTCATTAAATACCCTGGCCAGGCCAGGGATGGCCAAGATATTAATAGCTAGGAGCCAATGACCCTGGAGACGCAGCCTCCTAGAAGAGGGACAGTAACCCCAGCAGGCTATGGGGACAAGGAAGACAGCTCAGAAGGCCCCCCGGCAATGCCCCGCCTCTACACAGGACAGACAGGGTAACCAAAGGCCAGAGAAGGGAAAGGACTTGCTTGAAATCACCAGGAAGCTCACTGAGAGAGCCTGGCCTTGAACGCAGTTCTGCAAACCCCACAGCCCTGCCTCTTCCATTACACAGATCGTCACAGGTGAGACCATCAGGGGTGCCCTATGTGGAAACATGTGAAGAGCAGGTCTAATTAGTAACACTGATTCTTTGTTTAAAATCTTGAAATTTTGCTCATTATGTATGTTTTACATTAATTTCGATATTTTTAAAATATCAGATTAGGCCAGAGGCGATGGCCAGTAATCCCAGCACTTTGAGAGACCAAGGCGGGCAGATAACAAGGTCAAGAGATC